CTTCGATAACCCCTTTGATAACAAATCACAAGATCTTAATAATAGCACAATACCTGGTTCAGGGACTGAATCCATTAATGTATTTAATCGTGTAAGCAGTGAAGCAAAGGATCATGAGGTACGGATGCGTAATTTATGAGAATTGTGGTCGGTCTGATATAACTCTTTCTTTTTGTATTTAGTCCGATGACGATGAGTAACAATATTTTCAATTAGATAGGACAGCAGGTGCTCGGGACCGGTAATAATGTATCCATTGATAATATCGATAATCGTCGTTTAACTGAAAAACATCGCCGGGATACAAATAATGAAGGAGTTACGTCTCCGCTAAAAAAGGTGAGTTCGATAAAGGTCCTTTCTAAATTTGTTACATAACCCTTTTCTTACCTTGTGGATGTGCGCACAGATAAAAACCGCTGATAGAGCAGAAAACATGGACGGTTGCAAGGAAAATCGAATGCAGTCAACTTCAGAAAACTCTATGATTTCATTGGAGACAGATGATGAAATAGATTATAGTAATCATGATATAGATCCAAACATTGAGTCCGACTTATTGGAGAAACAGATACCTGTACAGAATCACTCAAAGTACCCTGATCAAGACAGTCAAGATAATATTTGGTTATTGCCTTCTAGAAAACCGATTGATGAAGTAATTCGTGGACCTGGAAATCTGCATAAATCACAGTAAGTTTTATAATCTTCGTTTCTTTTCTTCATGTCTTGATCCAACATATTAATTTTTGCATTTATATGTAGCCCATCATGTCTTGGTATCATACGTATTGGTTCAAAGATTCGTAAACCAGAGTGGATTGAACAAAAAGATTGGAATTACTTACAAACTAGCATTGAATATCCGAATTATAAACTGACTTCTAATGTAGAAAACCTCGTTAAAGAATTATTAGAGACTGTAAGTACAAATTAATCTTTATCTTTAATGATAATGTTATTTACATTTGTTAATTAACAATAGAACTCGTTAATGGAGTATAAGCAATGTGTTTGTAAAGCCAAGTTTAAAAATGAGATCGATAAGGAAATGGAATTTGTAACGGATGTCTTTTTATGGTTGTGAGTATAGATTTTTGCAAAAATAGTACTGTTTATTTTTTTTTATTTCACTATTTAATTAACAAATTTAATTTGAAGCACGAAAAATGTATTTAACCCTGCGTCGGCTTTCCGTAGCAAAAATAAAAATGAAGCACTCCTGGGTTCACTAATGATTCATCCAATGTTGCAGTACCTTATTAACGCAACTGACCGCGTTATATATGTGCCGTACGTTTTTTGAATCAAACACCAAATTAATATTTCGTTCTTCTTTACAGTATTAAAAATGTGATTATCTCTTTTCAAAATAGAGGCGAAATTTATCTAAAGGCTAGTGCAAATCAGAGATTATTACGACGTAATCTAAAACCTGACGATGACAAGCCTCTAGGTATGAAAATAGACGGTTCATTTCATTCCCCCGGTGAAGAGGGCCTTGAAATAGGCATGGTGGAGCTGTCTGGTGGTTACTTAACCTCGGATTTGCCAAGATACTTAAAAGACCATGTGAAAGGATATTGGGGCTGTCGCGATCTTCTAAATGACATAGTTAGAAAATATAATCGCGGTGACTACAAAATTTTTAGACGTTTACGCTCGTGGTTTTTTCATATACATGGTAAGTTAATATAAGCTGAGTCTTTATTTTTTTTCCTGTTAAATAAATTATCTTTGTATATAGGACTTGAGGTGCAAATTTGGGTATGGATTTACCCGTTTCAAAATCCTACTGAACGTTTCTCATTGGTGCTTTTCGGCTCCCAATTAGTTGGGAAGATCATCATGAATTGGCGAATGCACTTAGGATTTTGCGAAATCTTGGAGTAAGTAATTCTTTGAATTAAAGTATTGAAACATTTTATTCTAATAATTATCTTTTTTGCTTAGAGGGGATTAGATGATACCCTCAAGATACTTGAGGAACTAAAAAAATCACATCGCCGGAATTCAGTTTTTCATTCTCAGTCTTCAAAATTGATGAGTCATATAGGTGATGCGAAGAGTTCACCACAAAAACCCATAGGAAAAAACTCACGTTTCATAAATCTACTCATGTATCATGATTACAATGATTCTGATTATGAGGATCCGCCTTCACCCTCACCGTCAGGATGCTTTTATTAATTGGTTTAACATGGGAGAGTGTCACAAATAATGATAATATGAGTAATTTTTTAACGATTGCAACTACTGAATGATATTTGCTATTGAAGTTTGTCTGTTATCTCTCATTGCGTTTATATAATAAATTTTTTATTGACCAAAATTCACATAACTTGTTTCTGCTTTAATATTCTTGCGTTATAAAAATGGAATTATATCAATAAAGCATCTATTGTTTACCCACATTGGCTCATGATTTTTTAACCAGTGTACTGTATACTGTATACGGGTGGTGTGACGTTACTTTATTGCAAGATTCGCCAGAAAGATTTATAATTAGCTGGTAGATTCTTCACGATTGTTATATGATACAGCATGTATTGGTGGGTCATTCCAAACTTTTTTTCATTAGTATATCTAGATAACATATCTGCCCGGGATAGGTTATCTTTTTTCGAATAAATATGGGAAATGTGCACAAAAAATATGCTAATCACTCCTGGATGTGATATACATCATGCGAAACGTCTGACTAATCCCTGTTAATCATGAGAGATCCACACAGCCTGTATTAGATTATCTTATACTCCGAATTTTTGGCGGTCATCCCATGATTTGAGAAACATCTCAGTACCATGATAGCGCCAGGAAACTGTCATAGAACTGGCAGGGAGCTAGGATGATTCCTGTGATACGATATACATCATACACCATACACCTCTGATTAGCTATTATCTCGAACTAATTTAACTGAATTATGCCATTGGAAAATCCCTTACATGCGGCATATAGCCAGATGTGGACCTTATATAAACCTCAGATAATATGCTTGTAATTGAATAAAAATGAATCCGATATTTTATTAGTCCGGAACGAAGTGAAGGACTATAGGGGTATTCAAAATTGGTTGATGCAAAATTTGATGCACTTGTAATTAACCAATCAATTGTTATTTTTTTAGTACGCGAAATTGAATAAAATCGATGCATATTTTTATGAAATCGTATTTTTAAAAATAAGGATTTTACAAATTTGGTTAAGTAAACATTTTGTGATTGGCTACTTGGACCGTTAAAAATTTTGCATCAACTACACCTGTTATTTTGCTGATGCATTTGATGCAAAATCCGATATAAATTTCAGCCAATCATATTTCTTGAAATTTGCATCAAAATTTGCATCAACCGATTTTGAATACCCCTATAGTAGTTCGAGCATAAACCCGTTTTAACCCGGTTTGGAATAAACCACTTAACATCCCTAGTTTCCAGTTTCTAATAATTTGGATAACGGCTACCATATTCCCAGTTTCAATTTGTTCCAATTATAAATTGGGGCAATTATCATTAACTTGGGACACAACAATCTGCCAAACATAAAGGTATTTACCGAATATTTATTATTCGGGCTGTAATACATTTACTCATTTTGCATTTTTGGTAAAGGACCCACACAAAAAATTTTATCTGCAATGATTATCGTCTGTTGTGAAAAAAATTTTTTTTAATTCATTGCCTATGTTCAGTTTGTTTAGTTGCTGAAACTAGAATTTTGTCAGCGAATTAATTTACATACTGATTCATTATGTCTTCAATTAGTGACGTATCAACGGTAGAAAACGCTAAAGCCAATCCAGCTACAAAAAAAAATAAAGCCTCAAATAGCGAGGGTCTTTTGGAGGTATAATAAATTCAAGGGAGAAATATTCTTTCCCGCGAACTCTCGATTTAACTATTTATCAATAAATTGTACCAAACCTTTTGTCTATTAGCTTAACCCTCCACCAGAATATCTCTCACACCGAATTAAGTTGTTTGAGGAATGGAAGGCTGCACATGAGGAGGAAATTAAGAGTAAGGGAATACTTGGCTTTCAAAAAAAATCATGAATTTAGAAATAATTGATTTATATTACGCAAATGTCTTAGAGAAACCACGCGTTCCAATTACCGTAACTTTTCCTGACGGTCAAACGAAAGAAGGAACAGCTTGGGAAACTACTCCTTTGGACCTTGCCAAGGCAATTTCTAAATCCTTGTCCGAACGTGTCGTTATTGCTAAGGTATGATTATCACTTTTAATTGAATGTGACTTAACTTCACTTTTTTATAATTTTAAATTATAAATTTTTATTCTTCTTTAAGGTTAATGGCGTTTTATTCGATCTAATTCGACCGCTTGAAACTGATTGTACTTTAGAGTTTCTTGATTTTGAACACGAGGAAGGTAAGTCTTCATAAATTGATCATTTATATTTCATGTCGGAAACTCCAATAAATCTATTGTAACCTTTTAGGAAAGAAAGTATTTTGGCATTCAAGTGCCCACGTTCTTGGTGAAGCCTGCGAACGTCATTATGGTTGTCATCTTTGCATCGGTCCACCTTTAGAAGAAGGCTTTTATTATGAGATGAGCATCAAAGACCGGTATGAATTATTCAAGTAATGAATTGAAGTTTTCTCAATTGTTCTAATTTATAATTTTTATTTAGCGTTGTACACCAGAGTGACTATGAATCCCTAAAAGCCATAGCAAGTAAAGCCATAAAGGAAAAGCAACCTTTTGAACGATTGGCTGTTCCAAAAGAAAATTTATTAGAAATGTTCAAGCATAATCAATACAAAGTTTACCTTATAAAATCCAAGATTCCTGATGGAACATCTGCCACTGTGTATCGCTGTGGACCGCTGATTGATTTATGTGTGGGCCCTCATGTTCCTCATACGGGCAAAATTAAGTCATTCGAAATCACAAAGGTATACTTTGAAAAAAGTTATTAATTCGTTAAATCTTAACTAGAGGACTTAAAAAAATTTTTTTGATTAATTTAGAATTCTGCATCATATTTTCTTGGTGACGCAAACAATGATTCTCTTCAACGTATTTATGGTATCTCTTTCCCAGATAATAAACAAATGACCGAATATAAGACATTTGTTGCTGAAGCTGCTAAGCGATTTCATAAAAAGATTGGTCAGGTATTAATTTAAATGTTATGTTAAATTTTACTCGAAAGATGTACGCTTATAATATTATAATGAATTTAGGAGCAAGAGCTTTTCTTTTTTGATGATCTGAGTCCTGGAAGTTGTTTCTTTCTTCCAAATGGATCTAGGATTTACAACGCTCTAGTTGATTTTATAAAAGTAATATTAAATCTCGTTTTATGAGTTGGTGTATTAATTATATTAAACTAAATATATACATTGGAAATATCATATATATCATAGACGGAATATCGTAAACGAGGTTACCACGAAGTGATTACTCCTAATATATATAATACTAAATTATGGGAACAATCAGGGCATTCGCAAAATTATGAAGTTAGTTATTCAATTATTCTCTATTAATTATGAATAATAATAAGTAGATATTTTATTAAATATATCTATTTATATAAGGACAATATGTTTTGCTTTGAAATTGAAAAAGAAAAATTTGCACTGAAACCTATGAATTGTCCGGGCCATTGTTTAATGTTCAAACACCGGGATCGATCATATAGAGAGTTACCTATTCGACTGGCTGATTTTGGAGTTTTACATCGTAATGAACTAAGTGGTGCTTTGACAGGTCTTACCCGTGTAAGAAGGTTTCAACAAGATGATGCACATATCTTCTGTAGACAGGACCAAGTATGTTTACTTAATGAATCAAAAATATTTTATTTTTTGATATATAATTTGTTTATTTTCATCTTATAGGTAGAAGAAGAGATTAGTGGTGCTTTGGAATTTATGAAACACATTTATGGCGTTTTTGGATTCACATTTCAACTTAAACTGTCAACCAGACCAGAAAAGTACTTGGGTACTATTGACGTTTGGGATCAAGCTGAAAAGGTTTAATATTAATTGCTGATCTAATTTTTCCTTTAACCTTTTCTCTGTCTAATTTTACGGTTTACACTCTGGTAATATTAAGAGATTGGAAGATGCTTTAAATAAGTTTGGTGAGCCTTGGGAATTCAATCCAGGCGATGGAGCATTCTATGGACCAAAGGTAGGAAATATTACATCTATGTAGGTTTAATCTCTGTGTAATATATTTATTAAGATTTCATTATTACCATAAGATTGACATCACAGTATCAGATGCTCTTAAAAGGAAACATCAATGTGCTACTCTGCAACTTGATTTCCAATTACCAGAACGTTTCGAACTTCAGTATCGTACTCAGACAATTAACGATGCTGAGCATACTTATGCTCGCCCAGTCATGATTCATCGTGCGATATTAGGTTCCGTAGAACGTATGATTGCAATTTTGACAGAAAATTTTGGTGGCAAGTGGTTAGTAAGATTTTTTATCACTTGTTTGTACAAACGAATTTGTCATCTCATTTATTCAACTTTATTAAAGGCCATTCTGGCTTTCGCCTCGTCAAGTGATTGTCATACCAGTTGCAAATAGTTTTAGTAGCTATGTCAAAAAAGTTGTTGATGCTTGTTTTAACGCTGGTTTACACGTTGAGTCTGACTTGGGCGAAAGTACTTTGAACAAAAAGATTAGAAATGCGCAATTGGCTCAATTTAACTTTATTTTCGGTATGTTGATTTCGTCTTGATATTTTGAAACTTTTTTTTTTTTTGGATATAATGATCTAATTCTTTGAAATTAAAACAAAGTCGTTGGTGCTGAAGAGGAGACTACAAATTCTGTTAACATTCGTAATCGAGATGATGCTGGTACAAGAACAAAAGGACAAACAATTCTTTTAGAAGAAGCAGTAGGAAAGTTGGTAAAATTAAAAAATGACAAGAGACTGAAGAACAGTCTGACATCAGACTGAAGATCAGTTTGACATTAATGTATATTGTGTAAAATATTTTTGAGATGTCATCTTTTTCATATATACGTGATTATCTCGCATAATCTCCACATGCCAATCATAGGAAAATAAAAGATATCCGTCATATTTATATCACAAATATCACAAAATACGCAGAAATTATAATTTCCTCGTGACAGGTCACATTATCCACCCAAAAAAATGATTTTTTTCGTTGGGGTAATTACATAAATAGATGGCATTTTCATCGTTCCATCAACAACTTCAACAGTTTGAAGGTTTTATCGTCTTCAACAGACGAAGTTCATTTTGCATGTCCAAGTGTTTTCGGAGTTTATATTAAAAAAAAAAAATACATCATAATAAATAATAAACATGGATAATGAGATAAGACAACGAATGGTTTTTGATACAACGTTTAATGAGAACCAAAGCAATGTCAAAACTAACGAGCAAGTTGATTCTGTGAAAGTTTATTATATTGATAAAGATAAAAGAACCGATGTTGTACACGGAAAAACTCCCGATGGTAAAGGTATGTATGTTTCCATAAAATATTGAAAATCAAAATATTTGTCGAGTTTTCGTTTTATATCTAATAAATACTTGAATCAGGGCTGAAATGGCACTGTAATTTCGGAATTTTTTGAAAAGTTCCGACAAAATCCCTGATTTTAATATTTATAATGATATAACGAACGAAATGCTGTTTCTTCAAAACGCGTGTTTGTATTTACGCGTCGGTTTATAATGTATCTCCGGAATAATTCATTTACGTTATAAATTGTCAATCAAACTAACATATTGAACCTTCGTTGTAACTGATATAATTTGTTTGTCATAGCTTTTCAAGTTCCCCATACTGTAGACATGTTAACTACAGTCTTTGACACTAAAGCGAAAAAATCGGCATTTGACATTCTTACGTTTATTGTGATTGGATGTCAAGTCACACTATTTTTCGTGCTTCCAGCATCAACATCAAAATGGCTTTTTCTTATTCTTTTCTTTTGTTGGAGAACCGCATATAATGGGGGATTAGGAATGCTGTTAAAACAACAAAGTGACACACGTGGCCTAGTCTCTTGGGTTAAGCGAAAAAAGTTTTTTAATAAAGATAAAGGCGGGAAAATATACACATTTCTTCAAAAAGAATTAAGCACGAAAATGGGTAAAGATTATGATTTTGAGGTAAATTTGGCATTTTTACAACTTATTATCCTTCAATTTTATTATTTTAACGATTATTTGTATATTTCTCTAGAAAGCTCCTTTGGAATTTAACACATGGTTACTCTTTCGTCAGCTTGTCGATTTGATTCTCTTGAATGATTTTACCACGTATATCTGTTTTGCACTTGCTAATTTTAACATTCCGGAGGGTTCTGGTGCATTTATTAACATATTACGATGGACTGGTGGCCTTTTCTTATTATGGTTTAATATCTGGGTCAAGACTGACGCACACCGCGTTGTAAAAGATTTTGCGTGGTGTAAGGATCTCAAAATTTTTTTTTTTTTTTTTGAAACTTTATGATTTAATGTTTATAAATATTTTTTTTTTTTAAAAAAAAAAAGATTGGGGTGATTTCTTTTTCCTTATTGACCAATCACTTACATTCGATGGTGTATTTGAGATGGCACCACACCCAATGTACTCTGTTGGATATGTTGGTTATTATGGAATTTCCCTTATGATGGCGAGTTATACTGTACTATTTGTAAGTTTAGCGGCACATGCAGCACAGTTTGCATTTTTAACATTTGTTGAAAATCCACGTAAGTGTAGAATTGAAATAATATTTTAAAAGTTCCAAACGCCACTTGATATTAACTAGATTTTTTATCATAGATATCGACAAAACTTATAATCCGCCCATATCGCTCAATGCCAGACTATCAAAGCAAATCACAGAAGAAGTGGATAAATCACCAACTCCTACACATAAAAAATTGTCAACTCCAAATAAAATTCATCCTACGCTTCCAGATTTGTCAAACACATCAAGTTATCATTTTCGTCGCGATCTTATCATATTCAAAAATTTCGATCTTTTTCGTTCAAATGATCTTTTTGTCATTTTGGTAATCTTTTATGCGGCAATTATTCCACTATTCATTGTCCGTGCTTCCGACAATGTAGTCAAATTATTCCTAGTTTCTCAATGCTTAGTGTGGCGTATCTTTCACTCTTATGGTTTGGGCTGCATTTTATTTTTTCAGAGCAAAAATAAATTTTTAACTAAACATTATATTAAATTTGGTGGTACTGTTGGCGAAGCATTTTCTAATTGGAAAAGGTAATCTTATATTAAATTTGAATTTATCTCCTTAATATTATACTTATAATTGTTTTATATAATTAGCATTTATAATCTCTCATTATGCATGACTTATGTGACTTTTCTTACCGCTGCATGGAAAATGTATTATTTCCCCGAAGATTGGACATACGGAATGGTATTATTACGCCATACTTTGGGTATATTACTTATTGCTTTACATATATGGACATCTGTTTCAGTATTTGAAGTGTTGGGTGATTTTGGTTGGTTCTATGGTGATTTCTTCCTTGATGAATATCCCACAACGTTGTACTACACAGGAATATACAGATTCCTTAATAATCCGGAAAAACTTATGGGACATGCGGCTTTTTGGGGGATTACCTTAATTGCAAACAGCTGGCTTATTTTTAGCCTGGCATTATTTGCCCAAATTTCAAATTTCCTATTTTTACGTTATGTTGAAAGTCCACACATGCAAAGGTTATATGGTGATAAGATTCGAAAGGAGGCTGGTGTAACAAAAACGATCAAACGCGTTAATATTATTCCAGGAAAAGTTAGAGAAGAGGTTTCTAAAATTCGAGAGGCACTAGAGATTCAAGTGGTTGAGCGTGCTGTTAAAGAAGTGGCTGAAACGGTTGAAAAAGTTGTCGAAGAAACAGTCGAAGTTTTAGTTGAATTTGTAGATGCCGCAAGGCCTCGATTTAAAGATGTAGTGAAAGAGACTCGATGCTTATTATCTAATTCAACGAGTGCATTCTTCATAAGGTAGATAATCGAATTCATAAATATCCATTCCTTTCTTTTTGTATATTAAAATCACTAATTCTGATACATTCCATATCTGTTTTTCAGTCAAGTTGCTGGAAAAATAGATCGTCAAACTCTTGAACAATATTCAATATCATTAGCTCTTCCTTCAGATGAAATGAACCATTCCCCACCAAATAGTCCGGTTTCACCTACTGGTGACAATAATGACAGTCGTAATCTAAACGCGAAACCAATTACATTTGAATTAGGTTCACCTATATGTGTCAAGTGGACTGCACCAAGAACCCATTCTCGTTTAGATTGGATTGGTATATATAAGGTCACTGCAAATTCATCAAAGAAAGTGACTAGTGTATCAAGTAGAGGTCGTTATGTTTATGTATCGCCAGAAGAGGATGATATTGATACAAGTGTTAATTCAACAACAACGGACATTGATGATCAGCCGGAAACGGGTAATGCATGTTTTAAAGGAGATCAATTACCATGGGAAGTAGGCACTTATGAATTTAGGTATCACCATGACAATAGCCATGGTGTTATGGTGATATCACAACCATTCGAAATTGTTGGTACGTTAAACATTTAAAGTTGTTTGTTTGTTTGTTGTTTTTTTTTTTTATTTTAAAGAATCGTGGTTATTTATAGAATTTGACTTTTGTTAACAAAATTTCTATATATCCAATATTTAGCAATAACACCCAAATATGCGTCAGATCTTCCAACAATTGAGCAAACTGTTCTCACTTTGGTGCAGAGAGCTCTTGATTCAAATCCTAATCTAATTCCATACACGACTAGAGATGATTATTTATTAATGAAAGAAGTGCATGCTAAACGTATTGTTTATGGAATTAAAATGATGTTCGGTATAGATTTCGCCTGGCAAGTTGTTGCAATCGATGGAAATGTTGGAAGATTGGCCCGTCGAGTATGTGTATATTTTTATTTATAAACATTCATATTATCTTAACTAATTTATGTTCTCTATAAAAGATCGACAAAGCACGTCGAGCCTTAGTTCTATTCTCGCAAGAATCTTGGGTTGGCAATAATCTTTCATCATCATCATCATCGTCGTCGTCATCAACACCATCGTCACCAACTGATTGTTCATTCTCCTTAACAAATGAAAAACCGAAAAGCAACAATTTAATATCTTCCGTTTTAGTTGTTGATTGATTACTAATGTGGTAGTACATTAAATATAATGAAACAATAGCATTAATTAGTATTTTTATAAACAAAAAATAGTATATTATTTGTATATATATAATGGCATATTTTACATTTTTTTTTTTTTTTGAATTCGTACGACGATAAATGAGGTATCTATGAGTAATGATTTACATACATCTTCTAATAAAATATTGATAAAATATGATCTGTCGGATTACGCTGTTTTGTGCTTCAGTAAAACAAAGTCATTTTGTTTTCCAGAGAATAATAGTCCCCTCAATGTCAAAACGAAATATGTATATCGAATTAGAAAGAATTCCCACCTTAAAGCAAATTTATGAGAAAGGGAATATTTCATCGCGTAACATAAAAAGGGCTGCATCATGTAAAGAAGTGCTATATCGGAATTATTTTATTTACAAGTGGCATACTAAAGTTTTATTATACTGTTAATACTTGAAGTATCCCCTTACAATGAATATAACGAAATATTCAATGAAAAGATATCTCTAATGTGAGTTTCTTTTGCATATTATTACTAAGAATTTTACTTTATCTAATGTTGTTATATGTATTTATATTCTTGAAGCCAAGCAGATATCACAAAATTGAAAATTGATGCTATAGGTATATTAGACTCAACATTTGAACAATGAATGATATAAATCATGACAGTTTTTCGTTATCATATTTAAATATTGAGTCTTTATTTTACGTTATTTTTAAGTCAACGCTGCAAATGAATCACTCTTGGGGGGCGGAGGAGGTAAATTATTTTCTGATTTTTTTAATGAAAATAATTTAAAATCTTTTTAATTTTTAATGATGATTTGGTATTTAGTTGATGGTGCAATTCACAGGTAAATTTAAGATTTTGAGCATTTAATACATACATTCAATATATATGATTCATTTTATTTGTAATTTTAGAGCTGCGGGACCTGAACTGAGAAGAGCGTGTTGGAATCTTGATGGTTGCGATACTGGAGTAAGTGACCACAATTGATTATTTAATTTTGTTTATTTTTTTTTTTTTTTAAAAAAAAAAACAAATATATTTATCGGCCTTTAATTAAACGTTCAGGATGCCAAGATCACTAAAGGTAAAAAAGATTGCTTATTCAATTACGTAATTTTAATGATTTTAAATTAGTTTATATATAAATTGTTTATATTTTAGGTTATGACTTGCCAGCTAAGTGTAAGTCTTAAGATTGTTTTTAAATATGATTTTTATCGAACATTGCATTTACAAATTTTATTTATTTAGATATCATTCACACTGTCGGTCCCATAGGGGAAAAACCCGATCTTCTTCAAAGTGCTTATATTCGGTCCTTGGAAGTCATGACTGAAAATAATTTAAAGAGCATAGTGGGTATAAATAATATAAAATTCCAAACAAAATATACGTATAATTTTTTTTAAAAAAAATATTTTATTAATAATCATTTGATAATATAAATTTAGGCATTTTCAAATATTAGTACGGGTAAGTTTCATCATTTTTTTTTTATTTTATATTTTATTTTTTTTTAATTAAAAAAAAAGAATAATTTTTAACGATTCTATGATTCACCTTGGTATTTTATTTAATAAAAAGGTGTCTACGGATATCCACGTTCGAGTGCTGCACATGTTGCTTTATCGACCATAAGAAAATGGTTGGAAGGACATCAAAACTTGGATAAGGTTTCATTTCATCTCTTATGCTTACGAAATTCTTTATTACAATATGATACTTATTCCTATATTTACACTATTTAAAACAGATTGATAGGATTATATTTTGCGTATTTGAAATCGAAAATAAGGATGTTTATGAGGTTTTATTGCAGTTGTATTTTCCACCTCCAGGAACTAAGCCTGGTATTGGAGAAAAGTCGGAGGTAGAATCAGGACAAAAGAAATTAAAATTAAAGGATGAAAACGAATCTGAAAATGAGAAAGTAAATGAAATTGAGAAAGAAAAGGAAAAGGCAAAAGAAAAAAAGGAAGTAAATAAAGAAAAGGATAGTGAAAAAGACTTTAAACGGGAAGAAGTAACTACAGGTGTCGCGATAACGGGTGCTGCTACTAAAGGTGGGGAGACTACCTCAGCTGATGATATAAAAGATGTAAATGAGAAAAGTAATGAAAACGAAAAAGAAAATAAGGAAGAAGAGGAGGGGGGAAAAGAAATAAATGAACGGGAAGAAGCAACTACAGATGTCGCGACGACGGATGCTGCTACCTCAGCTGACGTTGACATGAAAGATGTAAATGAGAAAAGAAAAGAAAACGAAAACGAAGATAAGGAAGAAAAGGAGGGGGAAAAAGAAATAAATGAACGGGAAGAAGCAACTACAAATGTCGCGACGACGGATGTTGCTACCTCAGCTGATGTTGACATGAAAGATGTAAATGAGAAAAGAAAAGAAAACGAAAAAGAAAATAAGGAAGGAAAGGAGGGGGAAAAAAAAATAATTGAACAGGAAGAAGCAACTACAGATGTCGCGACGACGGATGTTGCTACTAAGGATGGCCCGACTACCTCAACTGATATTGATATGGAAGATGTAAATGAGATAATAAAAGAAAAAGAAAATAAGGAAGAAAAGGATTGTGAAAAAGAACTTGTTAACCAGGAAAAAACAACAGTTGCTATGGATGATGATATTATTATGGAAGATGTGCCCACCGGACAGGAAAGTGACAAAGATCAACCTGAACAAACAATGCAACAGGAAGAAAAAAATAAAGAAATGATGGCAGAGCAACAAGAAACGCAAAAAACTGATTCTGCAGAGCAACAAGAAATACAAAAAACCGATTCTGAAATGAAGACAGGGCAACAAACATTACAAGCATCCGACTCTAAAATGAAACCAGAGCAACTAGAAAACATGGAGACTAGTTCGGCAACATCTCCCCGAGACGAAAAACAAGAGATTGCATTAGATGACGAGCATAATCAGGCTCCAAAAGATGGAGATACAGTTTCGTCGGCATCATGTAAAACTTCTGAAAAAACAAACGAGGAGGATAAACATGCAATTAAAGAAAATCAAGATTTGGCTCATACTTCATCATTGTAATTTTAAGTAAAAATTACCTTTCTTTCCGTTATTAATTTGCTGGTGTTAGTTACTATTGTCGTTTGTTTTCTAATATAAAATTCCCAAATTTCTTTCAAAGGTAAAATAAGTACCCGCTAATTCCAAGTACGCTTTGCAAATGATATTTTTGGAGGAATCTTTATTTTAATACTATCAATTTAATATTCTTTAATTTGAAGTATTTATGGTTGAGTATATTTATTAAAATCATAAATAAACCAATTTTATCCGACACAACAAAATTTTTATTATATGTTACAATCGTAATCAAGTACAACAAATGAAAGAATTTATATTATAGGAATTGATAAAATTGCTTCTTTAGCTTTTTTCTTTAATTCTATTAAAGTTTCTATTTTTTGATTTGTTTTCTCAACCAGTCTCATATGTTGGGTTTCTGTTAAACTTCTTAAATAATCTTCAACTGTAAATGCTGCCCTTCCATTCTGCTCTTTAGGTGTAATGAATGTTGAAGGTTTAATCTTATTGCAAATAGTACGTGTTGGCTCGGTAGATTCAGGAGTATGTTTAGCGAGAGGGATATGCGACATAGGCTGAATAATTCGTGATTCTATCAATCCTTCAGAAGCTGTAAGATTGGAACACATATTGGACGTGTGTGGACTGATAATCTTTTCATTACTTTCCTTATTCAGATCAATATCACTCATTTTTGTTTGAATTATATCAAAATCATCAGCGTTATCAGAGATACTTTCTAGGATCTTTAATTCATGTATTTTTAATTCAGCTGATAATCTCTGGATTTCCAGACTTGTTACATTATCATCTGAATTTGAAAGGTCGTTTTCTCTATTGTCTTCTTGGACATAAGAACTTATACTATTCACATTAAGTTCATTAAATGAACCAATTGATCTTTTGACTGGTGGTTCCGTCAGTTTGCTTTCACGGATAGATTTTTCTTCACCTCCAACATTCGTTGAACCTCTGATCAAGTATTCCAATGATTTCTTTTTAATGAGATTGACTGATCTTTTAACTTCAGAACTTTCAATTATGAGCTCATTAGATGTAACCTTTTCTACATTTAAATTATCATCATCTATACTCAGAAATTCGTTATTAAATTTTTCAGTAACAGATATATTTTCTTCTTCATTTTTTCGATCAAATTCTGATTCTTCTAAGTTTATAACTTCGCATTCGATTGGTAATATTTCTCTCGACTCGTCATCTTTGACATCATCACTAGTCAAATCAATAATTTCTATATCATTGGATGGTTCTTTGCTGTTACCTTTGACGATTTCATCTTCAAATTTGGGATCGTTCTGTAATATATCTAAACTTTCTTCCTGAAACAAATAAATAAAATCAGAATAAATGGACAAAATAATAATAATAAAGTTTATATATATACATTTGAATACCTTATCTTCCTCTATTATTATAGCATTATCTAATCGTTCGCCAATTTCTTTTTCAATTGTTATAATATCATCAACTTGTTCAACAACTTCATTTACCTGATCTGTTGGTTCATCCAATTCCTCCTCTTTAACTATTTTAATAGCATTATCTATATTTCTTCGAGAGCTATCATTGATAGAAGGAGGTGCCGCTACCTTTTCTTTTTTTAATTTTGAAGCTGGTTTAGCAAAAAATGGGCAGGAAGGAAGCCTTTTATGATGTTCTTTACTTTTGATTTATTAAGTAAATATTTTGAATTACTATTTATATATTTGTATAATTTTCATCCAAAAACGCAAAAAAAAAAAGTAAAAATAAAACAAATTCTTACGAAATCTTACATAGGATCGTCCTTAGGTAACCACCCTTCTAGCCCAACTTCGCAATACATACAAGTTACGAAATCTATCGATTCAAAAGTTGGAGCATGATAAAATCCCGCCTTGGCCATCTGAGTTTTAGAAAAAATCGCGTTAGGTATAGAAAATCTAAATTTTCGTTAGGATTCTTTTTTTAATTTCTTAAACGATACCTTTTTACTAGTTCCAACCCAACCTTTTTTTTTATCATGAGGCCACCAATTGCCAAAGGTTTTTAATCTAGCTTCTTCCATTTTCTTTGAAGTGGGCAACTGTTCCTTATTATCCCAATTAAAAGATGATTCATCATCAGGGAATGTTCTTTTAATACATCGACAAATAACCCAAGCACAATCTGGAGAATGATTAACATGTTCTTCCAATGGATCATCGGTTGGATCCCAATTTTCCATCGATTTATGACATAAGAAACAAATTACATTATCTGGAGATTCTGGATACGGTTTAAAATAAAACCCTGCTTTTGCTAGCTATTAATTAAAAAATGATATTTAATGAACAAAAAGAAAGATTTCATAATAAATTTGAATTTTAGTCATATTTACGATTTCCGGAGTTGCTTTATATCCATCAGAAGCTTTATATGGCCATTTTTTCTTTTTTGAGCTAAAAGATTTTAAACGGTTTTCGTATAAATACATACTCATGTTGATAGTTTATTAGGAGTAAAAAGCGTGTAAAAATTATTTATTTTCTTTGGGAAAAAAGATATCCTCAAAATATTTAGATAATTATTGTAAAAAAAAAAAAAAAAATAAAATAAAAAAAAATCATAATATAAAATTATTGATTTATCATCTGCTTAAGACGCGGAGCGGATTATGTAGATCTTTAATCGCGTTCGCAAATTCACGTGATTGATTACTTCAAATACAAGATATATTTACATAATTTGTTTAAGTTTAATTTACAGTGATACCCGAACTTAACACCACCAAAAAAACTGATTTAACGGTATCAACAAGTAATTTTGATTTTGTATTAATTTTTGACGCTTGCTGATCCTGTCCAATGTTTTTTTCCGTATCTGTCAACAAACCGTCATCATTACTATCAAGTTGCTGCAAATTTTCATCCAATTCATCCTCATTTACGTTTGTTACATAAAAATTCACAGTAAACTCAACGTTAACCTCAAAATTGTTTGGATTAGCTATGGTCAAACATTGAATATCATCTTGAACAAGTTTATTAGTCCTTGAGCAAGACCTTACAGGTTCAAGACAATGCATTAAAGGTTCAACATAAATCTGATCAATCTGAGAATTACTGGCAAGATTTTCCATTTGTGATTTTGACAGAACATAGGATAGAATTCCACCGGAAGGTAATTTATTTATAATTGGAATTGACATTCTTGAAGCATTTCCAAAAATTGTACGTGTCCTTACTTTTGAACTATCAATTACTGCAATATCATATGCTAAGTAAGAAGAAAATGTATAATTATATAAGATACGATAACTAACAAAAAAAAAAAACAACAAAGGATTTGCTTGCTTACACATATGATTCGTTCGTTCTTCACTACACATATATATAGTCCACCCAGCGGGAATAGAAGAAGAACCAACGTACAGATAAGACTAAATATTTTAAAGAATAAATTTTATTTTTATTTATATTAATTTTTTTTTTTTAATAAAAAAAAAAATAATATAGTAGAATTACCTTTGACATTTCTTCCAAATCCTCAGAAAATGAAACATGCGGAGTCCCATACCAAAGCTATTTAGAAAATGGTAAATGACATGACTTCATTCGTTTCATCCTTTTTAAATAAAAAATTTACCTGGAATGAAATCAATAATATCACACAATAAGCGAAACAGTAATCACATGCTCTATCGGATATAACCATTTTTTTAAAAAAAATAAATAAGTCAGTCTGGCCGTATATTGCCTGTAGAAAAGAAAAGAAAAGAAAAGAAAAGAAAGAAAAAAAGAAAGAAAGAACTTGTTCAGTTTCTGAATTAATACTTTTAAATACCTTAGATTTTTTTTTAATTAAACATTACTTTTAAAGAATTTCAATAAATTTCTCGAAAAAGGAACACCCGTGTGGTGGATTCGAAAAGGTTTCGAAATTCATGCAGTGACATATGTAACCAAAAGTATCTATAATTAATAAACTTACTGAATTCTTAATTGATACATGTATCATCAATATAAATAATAACACAACAAAAAAAAAATTGTTATTAATAGGATTAAAAAATTTTTTTTTCTTTTCTGCCGGCGCCATTTGGCGTCATAAATAATCTAATTAAATAATTTGTCATAAATGAAAAAGATTTCAAGGAGGTTTAAAAACTTCTAAAACTTCTCTCTCCGAAAGCGATTAATTATTTAAAGAATAATACGTATGATTAGATTAGAATATATCTAGGGAAATTTCATAAAGTTTCAATCGAGAAGTTCAGAATAAAATAAAATTATTGATTATTATAGTTGAAGTTTTGAGAAATCTCCCAAGATGTTTGTAATTATCGGTTGATTTTGTTGAAAAAATTAATGTACAGTATCTATCTAGTTATAAAAGAAACATACTTTATTTCGGCAAATATTCACCACATTTTATGATATATTATTTATTTAATTATTTATATTTAAATATGCTATTAAGCAATAGCATTTCTTTATATAATTCTATTTTAAATAACATAATAAAATTTAATCAATTATTATTTTTTTGTATAATGAAAATTTCCAAATTATTATAAAAATATTACGAACATTATTTTAATGTTTTATAATACGTAGAAATATTACAAGGATTGATCTGCAATAAAATTATATGATGTTCAGTTTAACTTTGAAGTCTTAATAATTTAAATTTTTTTTTTTTAAAATAAAAAAGTATATAAAAAAAGAATATATATATATATATATATATATATATTTTTATTTAAATTTTGATACTAAGTAGATTTTATATTTTATTAATACTAAAAGTTTAATCAATTAAATAACTTTATATAATATTTAAATTTAAATATTTATAATTTATATAAACTATAAATGGTTTAAATTAACCTATTATATTTAAATTATATTTTATATACATTTTATATTATTACTTATTTACTAGTTATTATTACCTATTAATTAGTATATTATTATTTACTTCTTCTTATATTTTTTATGTTAATAATCTTTAACTCAATTTAACTATCTTCTTATAACAATAGTCTTTTAGTTATATTATAATATTCATTAAATAATGATTGCATTATTTTATAATTATTAACAATCAAAATTATGATAATAAACTTAATTTACAAAGTTTTATCAAAAAAAATTCAAAATTTTGCTAATAAAATATGATTTTTTATTAATAAATAAAAGAATCTCAAATGTATTCTAATAAGTCAAGTTGAATAAAAACCTTAATTCTTAAAGTATTTTTTATTAAATTATATTATGAAATAAATAAAATATAAATTTATATAAATTATTTTTCAAGGTTTATATATCTTAAAAATCATATTTATAAAAATTTTTAAGCATACTATTAAACATATTTTAAGTATAATTTATAAAGTTTTTTAAGAATATAAACTAATTCAAATATTTTTTTATATTAGCACTTATATATATACTTTAGCATAAATTGATAAATTATTAATTAAATTATATTTTAACAAACGAATTGTATTTTAATAGACACTAAGAAATGGAAACTATTGTAAGTCCAGAGCGAAATATTCATACTACTATATTTATCAAATTTTACTAACTATTTTTTATTAAGATTTGTGAGTTTTAGATTAGAAATATAAATAAAATTAAATGTAATAATAATTGAATATACATATAACAACTATATCTATCAAATTTTACTAACTATTTTTTGTTCCTTTTCTGAACATAAAAATGAACCATTTGGCAAAAGGTCAGTTATTTTATACAGTGACTTTAGCCAGCTTCCACCTATCCTTGATTATCCTATATATTCTGAGACTAAGAAAGATGCATTATCTAATAGTGATCTTGTGATATATAGACAGTTTAAAGAGGTATATAAGCTTGATATTATTCAGCGTCAATCAGGAAACTCTAAAGAACAACAAGACTTTAGAGACATTCTCTTAAGACTGCATAACAAAGAATCCACTATAGATGATTGAAAAATTCTTACCACACAAACTGAAGATAAGCTCAGTATAATGAAATGTAATAAATTCTCTGATGCCTTGTTTATTCTAACAAAGTGGATTGAAGTCAATGCAGTAAATATAGATTAACTTTGATCTCTAAATGTTCTTGTTGCTAAAATTCAAGCAGTACATACAGGTGGAAATGAGGCTAAAAAAGCCAATTCTGATACAGCATATAGTCTCGAAGTGTATATACTGTTAGCAAGAGATGCAAAAGTCATATTAACAGTAAACCTGCAGACCAAAACTGGGCTAGTCAATGGTTTCATGAGAACTATCCAGAACATAATATTCAAAGAAGATCAAGAACTGCCTTCTCTTCCTATAGCAGTCCTGATCTCTTTTAACAATTACAACGGTCTTACCATTGTTAGCTTAGAAGAGAAAAGGGTTGTACCAATTGCACTAATTTGATATACCTGGATTGATAAATTTAGAAATACTTGTTCATACTTGCAAATTCCTGTTTATCTTACATGGGTAATTACGGTATATAAAAATTAGAGTCTTATGTTAAAAAAGGCCATAGTAGATCTCAATGATAAAGAGTTTACTGCAGGTCTTACTTTTGTAGCTGCATCTCAAATACGTACCCTTGAAGATCTTTTCTTCAAACCATTCAATTTTAAGAGACTTCAGCGCATTAAAAACTGCAAAAGGTTAAAAAAAAGGTTAGACAAAAAAAAATGTTTGATTTTCATAATACTAAGAAATTAAGCCATATACAATAAAATATAATAATACTATTCCAAAACTTAGATCTAAAGTTCTAACAAAAATATTGTGATTTTTTTTTTTAACAAAAAATAAAAAATTCAAAGTAAATCTTTATAATACGTAATATTATTCGTAATATATGTAATTTTATTTTTTATTCGTAACACTTTTACAAATTTATTTTTTTTTATCTTGTTTATGTTTATGTTTTTTTTATTAGCACAAAATTTTCAATTAGACGTGATGCATGCAGAACATCTAGACATTACTATGTAATCTTAATTTTTATAAACTGTCTAATTTTATTAACTAGAAAATAGAAACTATTGTAAAGTCTGGAGTTTTTTTATTTCATATAAATATGCAAATACAAAATCAACCAATCAAAAATCACATGTGCGGATAACCGGACTTCACCACATGACCTTATTTGTAACTACTTTATATAAAAGTATATAATCCTTCTTTATACTTTAGACTAATAATTTATAATTAATGTTAGATTGATATAACTAGGAAATGGAAACTATTGTAAAGTCTGGAGTTTTTTTATTTTATATAAATATTCAGATACAAAATCAACCAATCAAAAATCACGTGTACAAATAACTGGACTTCGCCACGTGACTATATTTGTGACTACTTTGTATAGAAGTATATAGTCTTTCATTACACTCCAGACTAATTAACATCATCAAAATTAATTAGTAGTAAAATATACTTATATATCTATTTATATTTAAAAAAATTTTCTGTTATTATATTATACATATATAATATATATAATTTTTATATATATAATTTTATAAATTAAAAAATATAAAAATATATAAAAGTTTAAATTTTATATATATAATAAATATATTTATTTAAAATAAATTTTAGAATCTTTAAAATTTAAAAAAATTTTTAAATATATATAAATTATATTTAAAAATTCATAAATATAATTTTTTTAGAATATATAATTATTATTTATTTATAAACTTTTAAATAAAAATTATATAAAATTATAATAAATATATTATTAAAAAAAAATAATAGTATTAATTATTTCATTTAATAATATTAATAGAATATTACTATATAATATAAATTATATTATATAGTGATATTTTACTTATCTTAAATTATATAATCTAATTATTACTATATAGTTAACTCTCATTATAATTATACATTTAAAATATCTTATATTCAGTAATTATAACAAAATGTGATTATAAACAAAAATTTTTTTTAATAGTAAAATATAAATAAAAAACTATAAAAAATATATAATATATCAATTTTATTAATTAATAGACATATTATTTATTATGTAATTATATTAAGTTGATATTTTCAGTATATTTTTTATAAGTAAAACTTTTTTTTTTTAATTCCTGATTCTAAACTATTTCTTTAGAGTGTTCTATGTATGGTATCAGTATTAACTTGAATATTTTCAAAATTTTTAAATTTATCTTGTATGTTAATAGCTGTGAAACATTTGTTAAAAGCAATAAATCAAAGAATTTTCTGTTTAGTATAAGTGGAAAGAATTCTTAGATAACTTATTTTTAGTTTATTTTTAAACCTATTTATTTTCTCTTTTCGTTGATAAATTCTATATATTATAAACTTGTAAATATTTTCTTTAAATGAAATAAAGCTAGTTGAATAGCCTTCTTTAAGAAGAATAAAGATTTATGCTCATTTTTTAATAGGTAATTGTAATATATTAAACTTTTTGATTTTGTTGAAAAGAAAAAGTGATATGATTTATTTTTTGTTTATTTTTCTATATTAACTTTTTTATCATTTTCTGGTTATAACTTTTGTTCAAAAATTATCAATATAAAAAAATAAAAGTACTACACTATTAAAATAGAAAAAATTGGCAAAATATTAGCAATTATATGTTTAGTTTACTTTAATATTTACTGACATCACACTTTCTAATTATGAAAATTTATTTTATTTTAATTTAATTCATACTTAA